CTCCCGTCTCCAACCACTTCGACACAACCAAAACTGTTCTCTTGTAAGCTGCATTCTCATGTTCGCCTGAATGTGTTTTAAGAAACTGCAATCTTGTCCTCACCCACTTGCTAATTTAAAGAAGGTTATGCAATGAATAAGGCCAATGAATGCCACAATTGAAAAGTGGCGCAGGTCTCTAAATAAACCCTCTCATAAAATTGGTCACTGCTCAGTCATCCGTGAATGTATTTACGTATTCAGGGTATCGTTTTAAAGAGGAGATTCAACCCTAACAGAGGATATCTCCCTTTGATTCACATGTGCCCTACTTCTGTAGCAATAAGCAGTAATATTTTGGTTTCGTTTTTTTTTTATCGACCCTGTATAGTGGGGCTGTTATAAAGTGATACGATTGTGCACTTTGTGACTAAAGCATGAAACTTCGCACGTTGGTTCTTAATGCCATGAAAAAAATTTCAGATGTGAAAACATTTCATATTTGACCTCTGGTGACCTTTGAGAGGTCAATGACCTTTACATGCACTATTTACAACAATTGGTCTTGAAAACACCATTTTTCCTATGACCCAAGTCTACGTCATACGTCTTAAGGCCATGAAAATATAGATCAGATGTATACATATTTATCGTTTTTATGATTTAATCTTTATATAACCCCAATTTTTTTTAAACTAAGTAGATTTTCGTGCTGATTTTTGTTTACATTAGGTACGTGCTGATTTTTGTTTACATTAGGTAGGGCATTTCATATTTGACCTCTGGTGACCTTCAAGAGGTCAATAAACTTTGTATCCTCTATTTTTATATATTAATTAATATTTATTATTCAAAAGCCAACTATTTCATGATCCAAATCTAAACGTTGGCTCTCTGTGACTTGAAAAGAATTTATAGATATGGGGACATTATATCTGACCTTTTGTACCCTTTGATAGGTCAATGAACTTTAAATACCTTTTTTTGCTATTTTCATATGTATTCGTCAAAACGCCTTTTTCTCGTGACCCAAGCCTCAATATTGCAAAAGAAAGGTATTGCACCTAGTATTATATAGTCATGTAATGAATTCAAATCCCACACAAACTTTTGGGGTGACATCTTAACTCCATTTTCCTTTTTCAATTGGCAGACGCAACATGTTGCGACTGGGAAAGAAGACTGTTGGTAATATGTAAAAATATAAAATGTCTACCAATAGTCACTCTTGTGTTCTTATTACACTCTGTGGTATCTAGATGGACTTGGGTCACCACATTTTTAAGCTTTTTACCAAGCCCACACACCACACTGACCAAACGTGCGCAATGAACACCCTTTCTTGGCTGATTTGACTTGACTGACATGGCTATCTTTCGTCATTACGGGCACTGAAATTCCCCTTTTTTTAATTCCCTAAATTCATTTCCCTCATCAGTTGTTGCTTCCGGCCGGAATCACCGGAATAATTGCAAGCAGTGGCAACAATCGTGGAGCGGTAAGTAAGAGCACTCCTTCGCGTAACACACACAGTCGTGTTTTACAAAACGCCCGTGGACAATTAACATACAGGGCGAGTAAAAACAAAGCAAAACCCAAATGTCGGGACTATTGTTTTAGTGAAGTTCTGCATGTAGAACTTCTGAATCTAGCCTATGAAAGCCCAATTCATAAGCTTTCTTTTTACTAAATGTACTATTAGGGAGACACCTAGGAATCATTATCTCGATAATAGGGAAACATATCAATCGATATGAAGACACATAACTCTCCCTATTGCACAGCCCCCCCCCCCCCCTTTAGAGGCAAAAGTTTGTTGACGCAATTGAGTTATATCATTTGTTGCTCGTGGTCTAATTAGTAAAAAGTACTGAATTTATGGAAAAAAAGACAAGGGAATATCGGGTTAGGGCGTTCTTTCAGCAAAACAAAAACAATTCACACATCCCTATGTGATTTGTATTCGTTTAAATGAAAGACCATTCTTGAGTATGACGGGATAAGTTACTGTAAGCAAATACAGGGTGAGTCCAAAAAAGCAGAACCCAAAACCCCCAAAACTATATTTCATATTTAAACAAATATGTAGCACCACAAATAATAACGACTGGAAAACAAATTTCATAAGCTCCTTTAGATGAAAAAAAAATGAAATTGGTCAATCCGTTCAAGGAATATCACAATTTAAACACAAAGACCCTAAAACCTGTCTTGTCCAAGAATCATCATCACAATTGCCTTCAAACATCATCAGCGATAAAATCTCAGTTTAAACGTTAACTAGAACGGCGAAGCCGCCATGGCTCGCTGTCCAAGGCAGGAAGGGAGGCTGAAGGTAGGGTTGGGGATGGGCATGATGGAAGGGGATCAGGATTCTTGTTGATGTGCCTAGGTGTAGGGGTCAGTTTTTAAATGTCAACATAAAAAGTTAACAGATTACCTAATAAATACATATGTATATAGGTTAGCCGTCACTGTATTATGGGGGAGTTTTCCATTGTTAAGGTTATTAGGACCCACTTGTGGATTTTTGCAGCCCTAACAGTGTCTTCTGGTCCCCATACTTGTAGTACCATGGGAAAACTCTTGTGTAGTCGCCACAAATGCAGAACAAGAATGGGTATACATGTACATGTAGACACAGCACCATCACCCCCTCCCCCGAACCTTACCCCATCCCAAAACCTTACCCCATCCCCAACCCGCCCCCTCCCCTACCCACACCCATTCCATCCTCCCCTAACCATCCCCACCCTATCACCTACACATCCCAACCCCACTCAAACTCCAATCCCTATCTCCTTCCCCCTCCACTGACCCGTACCCTCCCCTACCCCAACCCCCTACACCCACCTACCCTATCTTCCATTATCTGTCCTTACCCACCCTACACATCCCCATCCTAACCCTTACTTGAATTCCAATATCCCGCCCACCCCATACCCCCACCCATACATCCCCACCTGACCCCATGCAACCCCTACTCTGATCCCTATATACTGCCCCCTCCCCTTATCCAACCCCTACAACCCATCCCTACCCATCCCTACACATCCCCAACCCAACCCCTACTCCGATCCTATATCCCGCCCCCTGCCCAACCCCCTCCTAACCCAACCCCTACATCCATGCCCATCCTCTCCCTACCTGTCTCTCCCTACCTGTTCCCACCCCACCCCTACAAATCCCCACCCCACCCAAACCCAGTATTCCAACCCCTCTCCCCACCCCAACCCACCCCGCCCCACCCATCCTAGCTCCCCTACTCATCCTACTCACACAAACCCTAACTCCAACCCTATACCCCACCCCACCCCACCCCACCCCCACCCCCACCCCCACCCCCACCCCCAGCCCCAGCCCCAGCCCCCACCCCCACCCCCACCCCCACCCCCACCCCCACCCCCACCCCACCCCCACCCCCACCCCCACCCCCCCCACCCCCCACCCCCACCCCCACCCCCACCCCCACCCCCACCCCACCCCCACCCCCACCCCACCCCACCCCCCCCCCCACCCCCACCCCCCCACCCTCCCCTACCCCATCCCTACTCCAACCCCAAACCAGAAGCTCATGCACATCCCCAAAATGCATAGTGTACATGTACATGTTATACCGGTATACACACACGTACATGTTATACCAGTATACATGTACAATGTACATGTAACAATTAAAAACTTTAACATTTCCTTGAATTAAAATTCCTCAATAAAATCATAAAATTTACTGCAATGATATGAACCTAACTGAAGTTATAAAGATGATACATGACAACTGCATTTAATTTTTTTCCCGAAGTTAACTAGAACCAAAAACTTCAACATTTTTATCTGAACGCGGACGGCCGGACGGACGGACGGACGGACGGCCCGACGGACGGACGGACGGACGGACGGACGGGCGCCCGGACAGACGGACGGAAATTGGTATTACATAGGCTCGCATCTGCTTCGCAGCTCGCCAAAAATAGTTCTCAAAACCCTTTCGGAAGCCTGTCTTTAAAAAAAAAAAAGAGGAGATTTCATAAATCATATTTTTTTGCCTAAACAGGGCTGTTAATAAAGATATTGTGTATTACAGTTGGTGACAGTTGTTGAAACAAGTATTCTGTATCATTTTCTTTGTTGTTCCAAACAGTCAAAACACACAATACATTTTTTTTGGACGAGACCGGTTTTAGGGTCATTGCGTTTAACTGGTGATATTCTTTGAACGGATTGAGCAATTTCAATTTTTTTTTATGTCAAAGAAGTTTGTGAAATTGGCTTTCCAGTCATTATTATTTGTGGTGCTACTTATTTTTTTTAAATATAAAATATATTTTGGGGGGTTTGGGTTCCGCACCACATTCTTAAACACTGAGTTATCCTTACTGAGCGACGTTTTGGGCATTTCGTCAGCTTTTTCACCAAGATACGAAGTTGGGCCACTGGGTGCCGGAAAAGAATTTTGAAAAAAAATATGGTTTTGGCCTGATTCGTCCCTTCGTGAAAACACTAGAGCTAACGATTTCGTTGATTTTTTTTTTTGACAAAATGGAATCCTAGGCAGAGATGTGGAAGGAGTGATTCCCTGATTGCAGGGGTCGTATTAAGCCGTGAACCCTAAACCCTAAATTGCTACTCGCCAGTACCTGCTTCTACTCACGCCAGTACTCGAGTATATCAGAAAACCACGAGCAGAACGAGTAGCATAAACTACTCACGCCAGTACTCGAGTAATCGAGTTACTCGCCCAGCTATCAATACGACAGATCCAATAAGGTTACGCTTAGTTTATTGCAGTTTTTTTAAGAGAGATGTAGCAAGCAGGATTTCATTTTATTATGAACGATAACAAGTGTTCATAAGAAGCGCTACACCATCAACAAATTCTCCCCCATTGTGTAGACCTGCTCTGATAAACATACGTTAATCATTAACATTTGTTAATCATTAACAAAGATTAACATACGTGGATTAACGTCTAGTTCTACAATGCAAAATTATTGTTTTTTATATATTACTTTTGATAGGCGATGGCATGTCGAATACTCAACAGCTTGGGGGCAGTTGGTGCGGTTGCAATCATCGTCACTGCTGCTCTCATCACCTCTACCAATATAGTAACCGACAGTGTAAGTTAAAATATCTAGGACACTTTTTTGGGAGGATTCGAACTCGTAAACCGAGTAGACCATTTGTAATTTTGTGCGTTTGTTTCGTTTGAACCAACAAAAGTGCTCGAAATCGCAAGACAGTTGCTTTATAACTAGACTTGGCCCAAGTCTGGGCTGCGCTTGGTCTGTGCCTACAGTAAATCCAAGCATAGCGCATACGTACGTCTGTACAGTATTACGTGCGCCCTCATGCGTCGAATCCGGACCATCATGTTAAAATCGTACATATACATGCTATTTTCAAATGATGCAGCAATCCAACTTTTGCACCACATGTATGCACATGTTCTGTACATGCACACACACAGTTATGTACGTATAATACGCGTATTGTACAATGTACATACAGTGTGCGCGCATTGTTATACGCACTGAAGTGGATCGCGTGCTGAAGTGTACCTTGTCGTGCTTTTGAAAAGATGTAAACTATGTGATTTTTGTGACTTTTTTAACTTACTTTTTAAGATACCAACTTAAGCATCTGGCTGAAGCTACGTTAGCCAATACGCAAAAAATGTTTTTTTTGTTTACATAAAAACATGCCATACCTGATGTATTTTCTTTTTTCTAATTTCATTTCGGAACATGTGGACAAAATTTTGAGCGTCGCATAATATGCCATTTGACCCAACGTAAATTCGAAACGGAGCCTGAGTAACTGACGAGAATTGAAATTTACAAAACAGACCCGTTTGACAACGAAAAAAAAAAGCATTTATGCATGGGAATAAAAGAGTAATGAATCAGTCTTAACGGCCGATTGAAACCTTAATGGGTCATGGCCGTGACGACTTGCAGGCCACAGGTCATGCAAAATCTATCCAATCAGAGCGTGAATGTATCGACGTATCCCAGCGTCCTGTTTCCAGGGCGAGGGTACGAGTCATTCGACGTCCGAAGGACAATGGAGGGCAGTCTAGCGTGCTCTCAACTAGGGGTAATAATTTTTGGTCGTGTGTGTTTCAGGACGCTGGAGCTATAGGAGCAGCAATTGCCACCGCTGTACTCGGTGTTCTGGAGCTGATTCTTTGTTTCCTTGCGGGTACGTTCTCCTCGCGCATCCTGCAAAGCGCTGCCGCAATGGAAGCTGCTACTGTGGTAAGTCACGTTGATATGCAGTTATGCATTATCAATTGTGCTCCCCCTTATTAATTTAACACCATTCGGTATCTATATAGGACAAAACCAGTAAAATTTAACACCAGATAGTCCCATATAGATACCAATGGTGTAAATTTAACACTGCAGTTTTTGCAGTGTACCAGGGGCGAGCTCGCGTCAACTCGGATACGCATCCATCAAAAACCGAAGAATTGGGATCTTCCATGTATGATATGGGTATCAAAATAAAAATCCACTCCATTCCAAACGGTCAATCACAACTCCTTCACAGTCCTCCTGTCCATTGTCAAATCACAACTTGTTTAAATGAACTCTTATCAAGGCGAACCTATGTTAATCCCTTGTTACTTGTGACTTGACTTATGATCGGACGAGTGATTAACGTGTGACCGGACCTGTGATGGACTCGACTACCACACTAGGAAAAACACTGATCTATTAACTATGTCTCCAATGATACACAGGCTTACAGTGGTGGTGGGGTAGCCAACCCAGGAATGCAGTACCCGGAAGCACATGTCCAAATACAGTACCCAGCTCAGCCACCTCAGGGCCAGTACCCAGGCGCCCCAGACCAGGGGCAGTACCCAGGCCCACCGGCCCAGGGGCAGTACCCAGGCCCACAGGCCCAGTACCCAGGCCCACCGGCCCAGGGGCAGTACCCAGGACCACCGGCCCAGGGGCAGTACCCAGGCCCACAGGCCCAGTACCCAGGACCACCGGTCCAGGGGCAGTACCCAGGCGCACCGGCCCAGGGGCAGTACCCAAGCGCCCCGGTCCAGTACCCACCAACCGAAGAGCAGAAGTACTAAGCACCGTGTTATGCGTCCTGCTGGGCACAATTTCCTATGCTATAGCCGACAATATTGCTGGGTAAATTTATGTAGCTGAGTAAAAATCAACAGAGAACCAATCACTGGCAACTTAATTTGTATGATATAGTTTTGCGGGTAACCTGTTTTGGCTAAGTGTTTTTTTTTCTAAGCTTAACAGGTTCCTGTGGTAAGCGAAAGTATATGACTGAAATAAGCTGATATTGTTTTTCTAAAACGTTGTTATCATAATGATACTACATAATGATGTTTCTATTTTTGCATTATAAATATCATGTTTTAACATTCCGTGCTAGCTGTTGATGTAGGCCGAGTCACTTTTAAATTCTACTTAATTAAAGTCCTTTCAAATTTGACATGGTACTTGAAAGTTGCTGATAGTCAATGCATGATGCGAAGCAATCGTTCCTTTCAATCTGATTGTATGTACACGTGACTGTGGTACCTGGATGTGTTTGTGGTACCTGGATGTATTTGTGGTACCTGGATATTACTGTGGTACCTGAGTGTGTCTGTGGTACCTGGTTATTTCTGTGGCACCTGGATGTTTTTGTGGTACCTGGTTGTTTCCGTGGTATATGATTATTGTTTTGTTAGAACTGTCATTGTACAAAGCCAGTCAGCCCGCGGGTGCAAAAAAAGTCTCTTTTTAAGGCACAAACCGTGTGAGCTGGACACACAAAAAACCTGTTAGCTGGAAGTATGAACTGAAATTACCAGGCTGATATTTTTCGAAAATGTTTATTACGATTTTTGAATTTGTTTTACCTTTAGCGCTTACAATAGTTCATGTCCATGTTTTTCTTTTATGATATTTTATTAATCTCAGACGCCATTTTTGCTAAATTAGTCTATATGTACTGTAACGAACGCTCTAGAAGCTGTAAGATTGTGCAATTTAGTGAGGTGCAGCTCCGTAAATGAGCCCCGGGAATAGGCTCTATAAATAGACTGCTTGGGGTCTTTGGTTTAGTTCCGCGGGAAGGGTTTTGCCAGACGCCAAGACGGGTTAAATGTAATACATTGTATAAAAGTTGTTGACTCTGTTGTTAGTTGTGTAGCCAGAGGCAGACAGAAGACAGACTGTTTGAATTCAGTGAAATAGCATCGAGAAAAGATGCTGATGCTGAAGCTTCTACTTATAGGCCTACATGGTTTCACATGGAACAACATTTTTGTTTGCGTTTCCCCACGATGGAACGAAGAAGGTCCAGGCATAGGCGTGCGTTACAGTATATTAATTTTAGGATTACATTATTTCAAATAGACAAAACGAGCTGTTGAAATATATATATAAATATACGGAAATTAAGGAACTTATAACACTTTTGCTTTGTTTCGTAGTCTCTCGATTTTGTTTTTCTTATTTTGTACAGTACGTTATGGTACAACTTTAATCGAACATCATTTTACTTCTTTAAAGCTTGTAACATTTTGAGGAATCACTTGAATCGATAATTAGTTCTTTACCTGTAGTTGCTTTATCATTAGAGCCTTATTTGTTAGCAGGTTGTATTTCTTTCATCCACAAATCTTTTGAAGTATTCAAATCAAGGCAAACTAATGTGAAAAAAATTGCAATTCCAGGCCTGTTTTAATTCGCTCTCTCTCTCTTTATTTTGCCCCTCTTTTGCCCCTCTATTACTAAGGTTATTAATGTTATGGAACAATTATGTAGGAAGAATACAACCTTGTCACCATAGAAAAATACCGTTCCTTTGTCGTGTGTGATGATTATTGAATGTTGTTGATAGTAACAAACTGAATGATGGGGATATGGATATTAAGAACGATGACAAATGACTCGGACTCGACCCTGCGGTCTCAAATTTAGACTCGGATTCGACCAGCGGGATTCGACCAGCATGATTCGGGACTCGACCGTTTGAAGACGATCGTCTCCTGAGTGACCGATAAAGTATGTGCGGTGCAGAAAAAAAACGTAGCTAGGTAGGTGTATTTTGCATGCACAGCGCGTGCTTCTGGGAAACAGGTACCCCAGCGTCCACACTTGACATTGCGTAAATTCAAGCTTGATAGTGCTTGACATCAGACTATCCCGCCTGGCCTTATTGGACGTATTATATAATACATGCGTTTCCAGATCATTAAATTAGAGAAAACCTCTGAAAATGGAAACATTTCCACTGTAATGTTTCAGCAGTGTTTTTAATTTACTTCTACTCCGGACTCGGAAGAGGTGACTCGGACTCGGAGTTTGGTGACTCGAATACGAGTCTGGAAATTTGGCGCTGTGGACTAGTCGGTAACGATTCCGCCAATAAGCCACTTGACTATTATGAAACACTGCCAATTTAAAAGCACGGCCACAAACACACTCAAATACATATCGACGTTTTCATAGTGAACAGTACCCCCTGAACTTCAAACCCATGTTTCGAATAACGTATGAATGAAGTCTTTCTATAAATTTAGGGTGCAAAGTGTGACATCCATCTGTCCCTGATTAATAACTTAACATGTCAGCAATTTGCCATTCAGGTATCCTTAAGAATCACTCTTGGAGGACAACCGCATTAAGGAGTGTATCAGAATCCTAAAACCATACAGATGTCCATGATGTGACATAGACAGAAAAGAAAGTGGACCCTAAATTAGAATGACTCAATCACTTATACGTGCGCACAATGATGATTTATAAACCTGACCTATTTTAATAATTAACCAAAATGTTATCGAAAGCTGCGCTCTGTATGTTCTGTGTATACAGATATATGTTAATGTACTAATGTACGTAGAATCCAGGATGCGGAAGCCTGTGCGTTTAATATTGGGTTGATCAACCGTGCTTAAATTGCTGGTTGGGCGCTGCATTCGATTAGATAGCGGTTCAACCAGCATTTGGAAGTTGAGGTCTACCACTGGCTTTCCTCCACTAACAACTCCCGACAGTACCACTGGTAAATACATATTTCATTCAGAGTTGATTTTTCGATACATATGTCCGGTTTGGCCTTCAGATAATTTGAGGCTTGTTCACTATAAACAATCGGAATACAAACTCAAACACAAGCGCAGCCGTTGGTATAGTGGGCGTGACCATGGAGCTAAAAACAACGGAGGTTTAGGGTGTCATGCGACCAACCTAGTACGCGCAGGACCATGCAGGGATGTAGGACCGTCGTTTGTACAAGACCAAATGACAAAGTGAAACACTTTAAAGTAGGATGTTTTGAGGCTTACGTGAATAATCAACTACTGCAGTAGCCACGCAGGCCATTTTCAGCCTTTAAAGGTGCACACTGCTTTTATTTTGAAAAAAAGTTACCAACCCATTTATTATCAAAAAAGCTAATAACAGGATTAAAAATCGTAGGCCCTACTGCTACTAGCCTAAGCGCCCTGTGAAATTGTTCCCTCAAGCTTGCTGTCATTTCAAGAAAAGTAGGCCCAGTGATTTGCAACGATCAGTCACTTGCAGTCAATTGAAGTCATTTGATTGATTTTTTTCGGAAATGAAACAGTAGACAAAATCATGTTTCATGTATCAAAAGGTTGTATACGGATGCACACTGTTTTCTCGAGAAGTGTAATATTCACTGAGCTTGAACTTAAAAAAAGGTCAGGCTTTGAACATTATTCTCTGTATTGTGCGTGGCGTTATTACTGAACACGAACAGAATGCATGGAAAGCACTTGATCCTTAACTCTAAGCCCGCGGGTGTGTCTTTTCCTGGACTTTGGAATTGGTAGACAACGCAAACGTATTCTATACACTTGGCCATCAGCTTTGTGTTGCTGCCCACTTTAACTGTTTATATGTTTAGAGGAACAAAATAAAGACACTATAAAATAGGTGGAAATGGAAAAGGTGTACCAAATATCTCTGAAACAAGACAAGGTCAGCCCATTTTATTATCATTTATTTTCGTTTTTCACCATCATTTCAGTATTGTTATTTCTCTACCCAACATATGATTTATAAGTATTTCCCGTTGTGTTAAACTCAAGCGTCTCATATACACGTACAAACTGAACATTGTTTGCCTTACATTCTCAATGTTTTGTTACATCCATGATGTTTGTGTTTAAAATCCTGTGGAAAGTCCCAGTTAATGTTTTTTTCTCGAGATCCCTACCCCACAAGCTTAGCTTATTTGTGGATTCCGCATTTCTACAAACAAATCCGGTGTCATATAAAAGTCCGACTCCTATGAAAATCGGACTCCTTTTTCCAATTATTGGTTAATCCCTCGCACATGACAGGTCACTGTCATATAAATAGGCCTATTTATAGGCTATTACCATGTTTACGCTTGCGCAATACTACAAACGAGTCCACAGTTCCTGGAGTCGAATATTCACGCTACACCGGCGGCAGCCATGTTCTGCGGTGGTGCAAGACTCGCGTGAGTCGCCCTCTGGTAGTACGCACGCACTGCGGGTTCCTTCGGCCAATACGGATACCAAACTGCGCGTGCGCCTCGTCTTTAAGAAGCGTGCAGAATGCACGTGAGTTCTACCGCAGTAAAAGCTTCCAAAAATATTCTTGTTGCCGAATTCCACTTAACATTGTATACATTATCTGCTTATTACTTTGTATACTTGTGCTAACTCAGAGATGAAATAAAGTTCAGTTCAGCTCAGTTCAGTTCAGTAAAGCTGGTCTCAAAGCGCACACAATTCTATTCAATCGGCTCCGTCAGAAGGGCTTTTCACTGGAGGACTTTTCATGCATAATATTTTTCACATTTTTGTGTAAACACAACCGGGAATCCTTGTTCAAGTGTTTTTGTTTTGGACCAGGATGAAGCTTAAACAAGTCTAATCAATAGGTGACAATAGGTGAGAGAGTCAGTGAAGCATTGAGTCAGGTACAAAGGATGCGGACATTAGCCGGTGTAGCGTGCATATCCGAATAAATTATTGAGCAATTCGCCCTAAAACTCCGATTTCTCTTGGGTGTTTTTTTTTTTTCAGGACACGCTGTATATTAAAAAATCATCAGAGCTTCGAAGTATTTTGAGTGCTGACCGAAAAAGTTCAAGATGGCCAGCTACAAGACTCCGATGATAGCAATCGGTATCATTCACATTATTGATGGGGTGCTGCTGCCTATTCTATGGGGCATTGGCTGGCTCTTTGAAGGTTATATATCTGTATATGCCGCACCAGTGTGGGGTGGTATCGTTGTAAGTATTTCAAATTCG